ATAATCTTTTACTCTTTCCAAATTAGTGACCATGAGGAAGACGTTCTCAGTGTCCATGCTCTGCATGAAAGGTATTATGTCAGTCTATGTCAATATAATCATTCAAATAGACCCTCAGATTTGTAATAATGTGCAGAAATAAAGTAGAGAAAGTGGAATACGTTTTACTCACCTTTTCCTTTTCATTAACATTAAAATAAATGAATTTTTGAGCTCTATAACTTAGTCATGAATACTATCATTTTCAAAACTGCAGAACAGACCGATTAAAGGTCCTTTCTCAGTGCCACCCTGCCCAGGATCACTGATATTTTAGGGAGGGATTTTTACACATGTTTGGTACTGATTCCACATGTTCACAAATTGCTTAAAGAAAAGGAGTTAAACATTCTATCCCAGAGCCAGTCACAAGACCTGACTGTTGATGACTCTATCTGACTGAAGTAGATGCTCAGTACCTGTTGAGGAATAGGTAAAGGAATAAATTTTCTAAATATATTAATTAGAAATGCAAAAACTCCTTTGGCTCTAACATAGGATCTGTCTTTCCTGGGGAGGAGGTATTCTATCCTTTAACATTTACTTCATCCTTCTGTTAATTCAAGATTAAAAAGCTTAGAGAGGATAAAAACCTAAAGATAACAAAATCTGCCTCTTTATTTTGTTAGTAAAAGTCAATGAGATAATGTAATACTTGAAAACTGACATTATGGGGAGATATTTCCAAATAAGTTACCTAAAATACCTACTAAGAAATTTCCATTTTTATAATTCTACATGGTGTGCACCTATTTTTAGTTTCTGTTCTAAGGACATTCTATATTTTCCAGTTGAGAATGCCTCATTTCTGCTCTGCCCATGCTATTTCCTTCTCTTAAACAATGAAATAAAGGCATGAGAAGAGGAAGGACTTTCAATACTGAAGTGCCAGAGGCTCGTAGAGCCCCCTGATTCAAAATTTCCACTTTAGAAATGTATTCTGGTAAAATATTAACATAAAAGTACAAAGGTAGATTTAGGAGGAGATTCAATAAAATATTATTTTCACTTAAAAAATGTTTATTAAGCAATGATATATCCATAATATAGCATTATAAACAATGAGATAACTCAGCATATGTTGATAAGGAATGATCTCCATGGAATCATTCTAACTTAGAAACAGATGGCTTTGGCATAGTGCCATGTGTAGACTAATCCTAGGTCTTTCTTTAGGAGTAAGTAATGACATGAATGGACAGAAACAGCATATTCTCAGCAGTGGTTATACCTGGATAAAAAATGTCATTGGGTGAAAGTATTACAAATATGGAATCTTAACTGATCTGATAAATGTCTGCAAATTTATTCTACAAGTTTTAATCATGTATTATAGATTTAAAATACAATTCTAAGAAAATAATCGAGTAAGGTTTAAATTTCAATAATTCTGAATGATGATGAAGCTGATTTCATTAACCCACAGAAATTATGCATCAGAAGTTTTTCATTTTTCTTCTTTCCTATGCCACCTCACACTTAACAGATACTATTATTGTGACTATATTCAAGCCTCACATGTTAGCTTTACAATAAACAAGAACATAATGTTTTTCACAGAACAATGGTCTCTAGAAAAGAAAAAGAAAAAATAAACAAACAACAAACTCCTTCATTAGCAAGTCTGTTCACAAGCACAGCCAGAGCCCAGTGTCTGCTGGTGCCATGCAAAGTTGGGAATTGCTTCAGCGTCTTCTGAGACTGGTAAAATCAGTTTTTCTTCATCTCATCCACGCTGTACCATTTAAAAGCTGATTCACAAACTTTATTGTAGTCATGGTGTTAAATTAGATTGAAGGAAGCTGATCTTTCTACAGTGGGGACACCATACATAGTTACCACATTCAGAAACCAGAAAGAAGATTAAGTTTCAGTGGCTATATATCAGTATGCGTGTGTATAACACTTGTCACAGTGTTTTATACCTATATAAAAATGTTTTATATATGTAGGTGAAGAATATAGACATCCATGTATCACACAGATATACAGATAGATACCAAAAGAATATAACATTCATTCTTCGAATAAAGAAAGTATACCCTAAAATTACTTTTCACCACTTAGATTTATGTGACCCTTGGTAACTATCTACCACCATATTTTTATATCTATATGCAATATACTTTTACAACAGCACTCTTCTATATTTATTTTTAGTTCCCAGATTGATTTCACTGTAATTGAATTGTTTGTCATGGCCTATTCACACATACTCAAGTGTGATTTTGTATTGTACAGAGGAGGGAGACTTGCATGCATTATTAGGACTATTGCAATGATTTATGATGTACAAAATTAGGCAACAAAAATTCAAAGTAATCAGTTATGAATACACAGTACCATTTTACTTCTCTAAGTCTCACGATAAAATGTAAGTGTTTGTGCAATTAGCATATTTCATAAAAACAAATTTTTGTAATTATTTCATTAGACTAAAAAGAATTTCATAATTCTCAGTCATAAGAATGAAAAAGACTATTGTTTTAGTCCAAATTTGGATTGCTAATAGTAATACCTGAACTAGAGGTTTATACAAACTCACAGTGCTGGTGGCTGGGAAGTCAAAAAGTCTATGCCTATGGCATGGCTGATAGAAGAACAAGGTTAGCAGAGAAAGTAAGAGAGGTTTTGACCATTGTCTCTTTTATGATGACTAGCTTCCTTGAGATCTAATCTATTCCCACAAGAGCTAGAACCCAATGGATCTCAGAAGACATCATTAAACAATTCATGAGTCTATTGCCTCTACAAAGCAATGGCTATGGTCCAATTGCTGCCTACTAGGCCTCACCACCTCCCCAAATCAAATTCCAAACCATGAAACTGTGGGGACCAAACCGTCATCTAAATCGTAACAAGTAAACATAGCAATTTTATGATCTCAATAAAAGTTGTAATTCCTAAATTCCAATCCTGTAAAATCCCCCCAAATCTTCCATCTCTAATAGTTAAAATCGATTTTTTAAATAATTCCATTTGTCTTGGGATGATATAGCATATTCCACCACCATCTAGGGCTAGAGTGTTATATTAACAAGCCCTATTTACCATAAGTCCCAATATACCTTTCTTGAAGCCAAAAACTAAATGAATTACCCAAGAATCATTGTTTTTTTACTTAATTGAAGATAAAGGGAAGGCCACAGTAAGCATGAAGAAAGTTAACTAGATTATGAACACCTGCCAAAATAATGCTCTGATTATGGTAAGTCTGGTACTGTAATTAAAACACATCCTACACTGTGCCAAGGATGCCTGCCTATCTACTCTGCAGTACTACCTTTGCTAGTCCTGGTCCCTATACCCTAAAGAGTGTCCAAAGCTTCAGGTTCAAATATTATTGTCCTCTTTTCCCATATCTCCTTGCTCAGTAATCTTCCCCAAAACATGACCCTATACCTAAGTAGCCATGTTCACCTAGCTATTGGAGCAAGGCCTAACCACAGCTCCAATGAGCCTCACATTCAGATCTTTAAGTTAGGACTTTAGTACTCCTTCTTCTTCAAGATAATTTTTTTAAGTGGACATTTCATTTGCTAGACAGCCTTGATCAGGATGTCTTCAGTCCATTCTGTTCTACCCCAGCAAGTATCAATATTCATGTATGAATAGGCCCCAGATTCTCAGTTCTACCTCTGCCAGAAGGTCTCAGAGGTGAAGAAGCTGCAAATTCTTCCAGAGGACAGAAGCAAGTTTGCTATGTACCAAAAAAAGAAAAAAGAAAAAAAGAAAAAGACCCGTGTAAA